TTAATCGGCCTATGCACTTCATTTTGAAACTTCAAGCGCTAAAAAAGTCGATTTTTCAATCTTTCGCATAATCTTTATCGCTTATTGAGTTGTCATTATTGATAATAATGGTTTATTGTCATAGAGGGAGCGTAAATACTGTATTCAAGTATTTTATCGAGTCTTGAAGAGAAATTCAACGCTAACTCGATTAAATTTTATTGGAGTCATAAAGAAAGATTGACTCATTCAACAGAACAACTGGTATCATGACTGTTAAATGTGGAGTGCATAGTCTCAATAAAATTTAAGGCTCCTCTCTCAGAAATACGATTTTTTGTAAAAAAAGCCAATATTTAAAATTTAATCTATTCATTATCAACATTTACAATAAATAGTAGCATTTTTCTATTTATTTTGATCAAGACGAAAAGAATTTAAACACAAAACACCATTAAACACCCCCATTAAACATTAATTTGGCGGACACAGTAACCTCCTCCCTCCCTCACATTAGAAACCCACCCCATAATAGAAGCCCAGTCTGGCAAGAAACTTTTCATCGTTGAATTGAGACGCCAACTTTAAGTACTAAGGTATGCCTTTTGAGACCCTCCATGTACCGTATTTCATGCCAAAGTAATACCATATAAAGACGCGTAAATTAATGATTTTTTTTGTCACATTTACGCCTAAAGTTTTCGTAGGGCCATCTCCTAATCAAAAAAGTAGATAGGTTTGGAAAATTGTTTACCAACGTTTGAAAGAGTGCGCTCCAGTTAGCCATACTGACTACATTCTAGACTTCAGACTCGATCAAACATCATTTTCATACTCGGTTTTTAATTCTAAATCTGAAAAAAGTATTTTCAGAAAGCTGGAAAGATGAACAAGACGAAAATTTGAAATTTTTGTGAATGGAGTTTCTTGAGAATTTTGAAGCCGCCGAGTATTTTCAATTTTTATCTATCGAAAAAATCTTTCAAAACATTAAAATATCATTTGCTTAATCAGCTTGGTGTGTTCTATCCAATCATATATAATTGAATGAAAAGAAATGCTGCTACTTTTTTGAATTTCCGTCATCTTCTGTATTGGAATATTCTAATTTTTTTCTGCCTGAAACGATACAACGGCAATGCAATTCATTTGTATAGTTATTTGAGTCTATTTTTTCGTTAAAAAGATTACTTATTGGGCTTTTTTATGAGATTGATGATGCTGTTGATTCGATGATAAAAGAATTTTTATTTTGTTTCTTGAATAAGAATGAAGTAGTTGATTCCGATAAACGAAGGTTATTTTTTTGTTGTTTTACTTCAAAGAAAAAATGTCATATATGAGTGAATTTCATCTGCCATTGTAGTATTGCATCCGAATGCGTAAATTGCTAATATCTCAAGCTTTTTTCGAAGCCCATCATCTTTTTAACGCACTTTCTGATCTCGTGCTCGAAACACGTTTCTGTTAAGCCATCATGTTCAAATAGTGATAGAAATATTTTTTATCTGAATAAGAGTAGATTTGATCTAAGATCAGAAAAATCCGCTTGAAAGAGCTCGATCGCGTTGTGGTTGACTCCGGCTTTCGAACAGACGAGAACAGATACTGCACTTTTGTATAATAGACAGTTCGATGACCTTTATCAAATGGCTTACTCATATTATTTCTTTTCACATAATTTTTGTGTATAAAAAAATCTCAAAAACCCTTTTAAACGATATAGCTTGTTAAAACATTTATTGACAACGAAGAAAATAAAAACCACAATACTTATATGAGCGACTGAAACCATCAGAAACAAACTCAGAATTACCGTATTTATATTACAATCTGAGCGATCACAAAATGGAAGAATGTTTAAGACTATCTCGCATTATACAATCACGATATAAACCTCATTATCCCCTTATTTCATAGGTAAGTCATCCTTTTATTGATGTAGATGGCTTTGGGACACTTTTGATGGAAAACGTTTACTAACGGCTTTCTAGAAGATCGGCTCTCCAAAGATCGACTGGAAAACCATTTATAGATCTTAAACATATTTCCTTAAGTTTTACGATATCTTTTACCTATAAATCCGAAGTTTCATTGAATGTAATTTAAAATTGAAGATTTTATTGATTTTAGACGAAATCCCATAGACTTATGAAAACTGCCATATTTCAAGAATGAAACAAAATCTCTTGAAAAGGGCATTCAACTTTTTTTGTACCATTATGACAAGTAAACTTTATTTTTTCGATTCACTTGAAATTCATTGAAATTCTGAAACAAGAGTAAGCTAGAGACTTTTGCTTGTTCTTAAAAGTTCAGTCATCTTTTAAGGATTTTAAAAATTTCAGTTTTTATAAATTTTCGTCGTTAACCCTCATTTCACCACCTGTGATCTGCCTATATTTCATCAGGTTTCTTTTCAACATTTTTTGTACAAAGTATTTAGGACTTATCACCTCAATTTGCTCGTGGTAGATGTCGATATGCCATACCGAGGATATATACCAATCTCAGCTATTTGTTGTTGATCTAAGTTGAGAAAACAAACTTTTATTCAAATGTGTTTTTCTGCGTGGGGTCCGTACGGACCCCAGGTGGTGAAATGAGGGTGAAAACTTTTTTCAAATGATAAAACAAACACACATATTGTTGCTCAACTCGAAGAGCTCTATCCAACCATGTATATATTGTTGCGAAAAAAATAGTGCTTAACGTTGCGGACATCTTACAATATTAAGTGTTCGAGTTTTCTGCCCTTGATCTTAATACATTCTTCTTATCTTATTCAAAACGCAAAAGGAAAAAGTGACACATGTTCTATGTGATTGTTTGTCTATGATAAGAAAAGTATAAAAATATTACTTTGTAATGCTTTGACAACAAAGCACTATTGTCGCATTAACTTTCTAATATGTAAAAGTCATTTTCTTTGTGAATACAATAATAGTATAATTACTCTTAATTGTACTCGAAAAAGTGTTTTAACAAACGACAGAAAGAAGGTAAAAGTATGATTAGTACAGTAATTGTTTTGATTTCTTGATTATCACTGTATATTCCATATACTCAGAAAAGAGCGATAAAAGAGTACTTTGAACAAATAATTCAGTATTGTTGAGCTCAACTATTATGAGTGTGAAGCATTTTCAGTTGCTCGGAGACATCTTTTCTTCTTCTATTTCTATTTTCATGTGAACAAGTATCTTTGAATGATTTGTGATACACATACGATATGAAGCAATTAGACAGGAGCGATAAAGCAGATTGTCTTGATGGTTTCAAGGTGTGAAAAAAGATTTTATGGGGATACGGTAGAGAAACTTTTGAAGTTTACGATTGAATGCAGAAAAAACTATTTCTCTATCGTATACTGTTACTTTTTTAAAGGCGGCCGAGTGGTGTACAGAGTCAAAAAAGAATGCTACACAGTCAAACACTGCATATATACTAAAATACATTTTTCTCAAAGATGATCAATCAGATTTCTATATCAAATATACCAAATTGTAGCTGAAAAGATTATCTACAAAACCGAATATTTGAAGAGTTCTGCTGATGTATGTATAAAAAACAATGGTCGTTGAAAATAGGTATCTTTCGTCCATGAAAAAATAAAATTGTTCTAGCTTGTAAGGGTTACGTAGGACTGACACTTTACGTTTACTTTACAGAAAGAGTAAATGATATCATTTACGTTTTTTTTATTATGTCACCGTAAATATAAAAAATGCTTTACTACAAACACTATTTTCGCACTGTATTTCTTATTGTAACCCTTTTTATTATAATTCAAGTGGCCCCAATCATATGAACTCGGTTCTTGTATGAGAAGATAGAGAATTAAATTCTTTACAAAATCAGCAGCATAAAGACAAGATGGATTCTTATTCTCTAAAGTAAAGATATGACTTTGAATTATAGAAGAAGTTTTTTCAGTCATATTTATATTATGAAGCGGTACATCGAGCTAGCTCAATAAAAAGTTTTCAAAAATGACTTTTTCGTGAAGTTTCTTCACAAAAAATATTAGAGATAGTCTACATAAGTGTTTTTTAAAAAGCATTTTGAACAACAAGCTAAAATTAATAACGAAGTGACTTAAGGCTTTACGAGCACCCCTCCTTTATTAGCACTGCGTGATATGTCATCAGCATCGATATCATCGTCTCAGTCAGTAAACAAAGAGCTTACAATAGAAGAAGGAATATCAAAATACATCACGGAAGCCACGTCAGGAGTAAATTTTGAAGATTTGTGGAAAAAGCATTTGACATTTCTACCAAACTTATTAAAAGTCATTCGTCGTTACAACTGTTTATGTGAACCTCTGTACTACGTGAAAGCGCTTCCAGTGTCTCAGGTTACATTCATCGTAAGCATCGTAACTCCTTACATCGAAATATACTACGAATCTCCATGGTACTCAGAAAATGGTCAGCATTTACGACTAGAGACCTGCACGGATTAAGAAAACGGAACCCGAACCCGACCCGACTGTCAAAAGGCCGACCCGAATCCGACCCGACACGACAACATCTGAAACTGACCTTATCGTAGGATGTACGTATGTTATTACGTACATCTTAAATGTTAGGATCTTGTAAGATCCTAGTAGGAGATAGTGAGGAAATGCGCAGGATTTTGTCTACGGTAATCAGCTTTGTGGCTGCAGTTCTTTCGACATAAGTATTTCAATGGCTAATTCAAGTGGACATCACTTTCAAATCAAAGAGTAATACAAAACTGATTATCTATATCTTCAACGCACGCGACATTTGCACATGTGGATTTCTGTCTGAACACACTCTCTATTTAATCAGATTCTCTTATAATTATAATTTCTTAAGACGCTTATATTACAAATTATTATAAAGAGGACTCTACGTGTGAATCTACTTACACGTGAGTGAGCACGTGCGCACGTGTCAAGAATGAATTCCAATTACCCTAATCAGAGGGGTAATGGGAATAGGAATCGTGGTGATCGGCTTCATCAATATTCATGTGACATGTCTAATCAGATGCAAAATAGCCAGCAACAGCCTAACTTGAACTCCAATATGCCTTATGATACGGAAACTTTGGTCAACTATATTCGCACGAATCCACGATATGCCTTAGGAGTGCATCAACAGCTACTGGAAAATCAACAGACGCAAGCAAGCATCAATTCTGCTTCTTCTTCTCTTGCTTTACAACAACGTCCTCAACAAACATCTACCCCATCCTCAAAAAGAGTTCTCGATAACTCTAGTAGTGGCGGTAGACAACAAAACAAGAGAGTCTTTCACAATCGTGTTCTACCGTCAAATAATGGCATGAATACCTCCTTGTCTAATGGATACCCTTCTGAACAACCCGCTCAACTGCAACGACCACAGCCACAGCCACAACAGCAAACAACTCAGGAGCAAAACTCTCGCAGAATACCATTTGATCAGTTAAAACGTGCTGTGTCGAGCAATTTGCCACGTTTCTTCATCGAATATGACGATAGTACACCCCATGAGGATCTCCCATCTGACACCATGGCTGCTAATTTGCTGGAACAACATTTTGTACAAAATGGTTATAATATATCTTTTTCATTCGTGGCTCACATCGGAAATAAATTGAAAGTGGGCGTCAATAATAAAGAAAATTATGCTCAATTGATATCAGCAGATGTATGGCCAGATAAAATTGGAAATGTGAACATTAAAGTTGTTAAACCATCCTATGTACCAGATGCTTTTGCGATTGTTGTCCGCTTTGTTGATTGCCAATACGATGAGGAAACTGTAAAGACCGAAATACTTCGAAATTTTCATTCAGCTGAGAATATAAGGAAAATCAATTATGCATTTGAACGACGGGCAAACGACTTTCGATTTAATGTGAAGGATCTACGCGAATACAACTCTGCTTTGCATCGTGGACGTATTTCTATTGGAAATAGCTTATGCATTATTACACCTTTCAAAGTCGGAAATCGAATGACATTTTGTACGAAATGTTGGTGTCTGGGTCATTTACAAAATAATTGTCAAGCTACCTCTCCTCGCTGTCGTTTATGTTTAGAAGATCTGGCAGGAAGTGACAATATACATTCTTGTTCAACTGGTCCTAAATGTGCTCAATGTAACGAAGACCACCATTCGCTGGATAGTAGATGTGACAAAATCAAGGAATATCGAGCAGAACTCAAACAAGAAGTCAATAGAGCGTTACAAGGAGGAAGATTACAGCGATTTGAACCTCTCGAAAGTCCAACGCCTACCTTCCAGCTACGACAAGGACAACTTCCTCAGCTACCTTTACCAATAAATTCTCATCCAGCTCCATGGTCTCGAGCAAATGCAGCTACGTTTATTCCTCCTCTTACTACAACAACAACTAACAATTCGACTGCTGATTTAAATCAAACACTTCTAAAGATAAATGAGAATTTATTGGCCATGCGAAATAGTAGTGAACGTATAGAAGAGCGACTGGGAAATATCTAACGTAAATCGAATCAAGCAGCCTTAGATGCCGAATTGCATCAGAATACCTTGGAGGAAGCGATGTGTATTATGCAGTCTACTCTGGAAAAAATTATCCTACCAGTCCTCCCTATGATTGGTAAGAAAAAAGGTGCTCGAGATGAACTGACCTCGGTGACAAATGCTCTACTACAGAATTTGAAAACGAAAATATCCAATATGAGAGACGATTATTCTATTCGAAGAAAAAGAAGTCCCACTCCTCCACTTGCTGCACATAATTCACCGACAGCCGATGGAAACAATATGGATGACTCAGCATGAATTTAGCAATTACTTTAAATCCAAACGCAAGTCCCTTTCATCCATTGGCTCAGTTAAATAAGAAAGAAGTGGCTTTCAATCGTCTTAAATCTTGGGGGTTCTCAGCTAAATTCGAAGAAATGGTAGAAGCAGTTATTGATGAATGGTATAAGGCCGGCACTTTAAATGGACTTTTGAATCAGTGGGAATTATATGCACAAACAGACTTTTCATCGAAACAAATCCCACTGCATGTATTATGTTACAACGTCCAAGGATGGGGAACTAGAGCATTGGAAGCAATTGATCTAGTTTTTCAAACAGATGCATCGATATGTGTGTTTACAGAAACAGGACAGTTATGGAATACGTCTCGGATGCCACACTTTAATACTTTTCATCAAAAAGGGACAAACAAAAGTGGAGGTGTTTGTGTGGCAGTTGGAAAGCACCTGAAAGCTAATCAGATTGATTGTGATATAGAAAACACTGTGGTGGTGGATATTTATGGTCTTACAGTATCTATGCGGATTATTGGTATCTATTGGCCTCAAGAGCAAAAACGGAATCTTCAGATGATTAACCCATTCTTAATTGAAAATACAATAATTACGGGCGATTTCAACGCAGCCATGCAAGAATGGGGAAGTCCATCATCTGATAAAAGGGGGAAGACTCTAAAAGAATGGATAGAAAAAAATACTCTGGCATTCATCCCATCTACAGCTCACTCATCAAAGCGATCTTTACGTCATATTGATCTCACTTTCTCAAACCTGGAAGGTCTCAACTCAGAAACGATGCTAGTGGGAACAAGTGATCATTGGCCGATTCTTTTAACATGCGTGAATGCGGACTTTGATACATCAAATATGTTCCCACATGTGCAGTGGCTCCTATTCCAAGCTGTACTTGCATTGTTACAAGAGTTTTGGGTAGACGAACAAGAAAGAAGAGGTGAGAATGGTGAGGAATGGTACTCGCAATACGTGCGCTTTCTTGCTGCTTTGAAATCAAGGCTAACTCAATGGAAGAAAACAGAAAAATACCGACCATCTCTATCCCTATATGTGATCAACCAAATAAAACATGTGAGCAAAGTTCGGAATATGTACTACCGCCAGCGAAAGAAAGGCCATGTCCAAGAAGAGACAAGAGTTTTACTACGAGTACTGACTCGGGAAGTGAAAAGAGAAATCGGAAGATATAAAACGGAAAAATAGCAAAGTTTTCTATCGACTGTACAAGATTCTCATGATAGACCAGAGAAAGCCTTTTGGAACTACCTATCTAGAGTTTACAAGCCAAAAACTCTTCCATTCTTCAAACTGGCGGTAAATGGAAAATCATTATCAGATGAACAAGAAATTACAGATGAACTCTACAAGTACTATGAAGAACAATTTCAACCTCCATCGATAGATAAAAATGATCCGCACGATGCTGAAATTGATAAGGAATACATCGAGATGAAGAAAGTCTTGGAAACATCAAATGAGCCTGTAAGAGCGACAAGTATCTTCGAGATTACAAAATATATTAAGAAATTGAAAGGGAAGAAATCGGCTGGGTATGATTCAGTGTCCAACTACATGCTCAAACTTTTACCACCTGGATATGTTGACTGTCTTACAAAATGTTTTAACAAGTGGTTAACCGAGTGTAGCTATCCAGAACCTTGGAAGATGGCAAAGATAATTATATTAAGTACATTAAAGGCAGGAGTACCTCGATGTGATCAAACTCGTCCTATCTCATTACTGGCCACACATTCTAAGTTGTTTGAAAAAGTATTACTAGAAAGAGTTCGACATTGGGCAGAGAGTCAACAACTGGTACCGATTGAGCAATCCGGATTTCGACCATGATGTTTACTGCCAACTCGAGTACTATCTATTTATCAAGAAGTGAAAAATAATTTGGCTGGTAATATCCCAACACTTGCTATCTATTATGATTATCAGAAAGCATATGACAAAGTGTGGCATATTGGACTCTTAGTAAAACTATATCGACTTGGAATGCCACATGGACTTCTTAAAATGATCGTGTCATGGCTGTCTGGAAGAAAAGCATATGTTAATTTCGGTAAAACATCGTCTGGTGTGTTTCTTATCTACATTGGACTCCCTCAAGGAAGCTCACTCAGTCCCTACCTATTCATCGTTTTCCACAGTGATATTATCGTATGTCTTGGTGCTCATTCAACCCACATTTTTGCTGACGATTTAAATGTGTTAATTCGATCACCGATTCTTAAAGATATCAATGCAATGACTCTCTACCTCGAGGAAGAAGGTACAAAAGTGTGCAATCGTATTGCCGCCTATTCGAAAAAATGGAAACAACCACTTAACATTACAAAGACAGTTGGACAGTTGTTCTACTCTCAAGTCATAGCACCTGTGATTAATGTATTTATGGAAGGACATAAACTGGAAATGGTGAAAGAATTTAAATACCTTGGCTTCATTTGGTCGAGCAAACTATCTCTAAAACCAACTGTGGATAGATGTTTGGAAAATATTCAAAGAAGTTATACAAAACTTAAATGGATGAAAGGTGATAGAGCATTGTCAAATATGGCCCTACGGAAATGTTTCTTCGCATTTAGCTTTCCACATTTTGCCGGGATTTTCCCTTTCTTCCCCTTTTTGCCACAAACACACCAAGAACTGCTGTTACAAAAGTATAGAGTCGGCATGAGATTGGTCCATCGCTGCCACTTTTCAAGTGCATCTGAACTTTTCAACATCATTGATGAATTTCCCTTAGAGACTTATGTGCAACGGTATATAAAGAAGCGATTAGAAAAAATTGAACAAACCGACCTTGGTCAATCACTCTTCTACACAGATGTATTTTATTGGGACACTCATAAGAAACAAAAAGGCGACGACGTGAGTTTTTTCTTTCGGATGAAACGGGTGAAGGACTTGCGTGATAGGCATGAATCGTTGCTGATTAAATGGATAGACTTCATTGAAAATATGTAATCCGAGTTCCTTTTGCATCCCTTATTTGTCTTTGGTGCTCCTTTTCTTCTATCTTCTTCTCTCTACCTTTTTGTTTTTGTTTTTTACTTTTTCACCTTTTTATACCCCCCTCTCAGTTTGCTGAAGCAGGAACACATGTGCATCTTTAGTGCTTTATAGTTTTATTTTGCCTGTCACTATCTACAAGCTGTTGTTATACTGTTCAATTGTAAGCACTCCCGAGTGTAACAATAAACGCAAATTTTAAAAAATCTATACCTTGAGTTGCGTCTCAAAAGGCTCAATCCCTCGGGTCGGGTTGCAGGTCTCTATTAACGGCCCAGTGAACATTTATTTATATATTATAATTCTTTCTTCTTATTTTCATTCTGATTTTATTGCTATTCAATTGTGTAGTTAGAATTCGGTATCAGAAAGAAGTAAAAAAGGATTGTGGAAAATAAAATGTGTGCTGATTTTCAGGAAAGTTGTTGGGCCGCTGCCACAATGATATTCAGAAACGTTTGCGCGCTGCTGCCGCTACCGCGGTGAATAAAAAATGTTTTTTCCGATTCACAATTTTCAATCAATAAAATACCAACAAAAATAGAATCAAAAACAAGAAGAAATGAGTAAAAAATGAATCAAAATTTTATAGACAGTAATCAAAACAAACAAGAGAAGAGCAGTGTTTTTTAACATTTTTTTCATGAAAGAATGAAACAGAACAAATGAAATAGATTTTTTTGCTTTTTTCATATACCTTTTTACATATAGAGATGAAAAACGATGGTACTTGGAAAATAACCAGAGGGTTTTTAATGGCACAATTAAAAAAGGGTAGAAAGCTAGTACAGGAATCATACCTTATCTTCGTAAGTTATTACTACCAATTGCTTAAGCCTATACGATTCGTGAGCTGAGTAGTGTTCTTTTACTGTCAAAAAAGAATAGAAACGAGATATCTCCGAAAATAATGCCATTTTACTTAGTTTGAAACGGTTCTTCCGATGAGGTATTGACTCGACCAATTTCAAGATCAGGAATATGATCATAAACTTGGTAGATGTCATTCTTCTCCATGAAAGACTAGAGCGCCGTCTTTGAAAGAGTAAAATTAGGAGAGAGCACTATCTACGTACTGATGAAACTGAAAGCAGCAATTTTATCTCTTTTTTTGATTGAGTGATTTGATTTGCCATAAAAGGATTTTTTACTTTTGAATGGACTGTAATATGTAAAAACGAGAGAGGAAATCTATATCTATCGAAAGGAAAGGAAAAATATTACTTAATGATGAACTGAATATGAAAATATAAAATCAAAAGAAATAAACTCTGTTTAATGATGTTAGTATACGCCCAAAGAAAAGAAATAGTGTGAAAGACGTAGCTTGTAACAAGTAGAAAATTCTTTCACTGTTGCATTATTCTTGGAAGTAAAAGCATTATATACTAAAAAGTCAATGTCGTTCGCACTTAAACTTACAAAAAGAGCGAAAACGTCGTAGGACTCAGCAGTGACAGTGAACGAAGATTTCTGAAATGACAGCTTCTGATTTAAAAGATCTGAAAATGATGTTAAGAACGTTAATAAATAAACAAAATATAACTCTAAAGAAGCAAACAAATTTGTATTGATCAATAGAATGGATCAAAAGTGTATCAGTAGAATTCGAAAGGTGCCAAGGAGAAGACAAAAGAGCCTTTTTTTCAAAAATACAAAATCATTTTCTGCTCAAATGGATTAATAGTGAACAAAAGTTGGTTCGCTGACATAAAGGCTTGTTGAAGGGATTCGCACGACATCCGTTTTAAAGGATTCATAATTCTTTTAAGATCTGAAACGAACCTTTTTAGAGAGCAGATGAGTCCTGGTCATTTACCTTCTTCATCTGTGCTTCTTGATCAACAGAGAGAACAAGAGAAGAATTCACTAGTCAATTTATTTAACGTAAATGACTCCGACAATATCTGACAGATGTAAGATAGATATGATTGACACTTCTGTGTAGTAAGACTATCATGTTAAACTTTATATGAATACACATTCCGGTGATGTTTTCAATGTGTCTCTAATAGTATGCAATGCAAGATATCGAAAAAAGAGAAGACTCCATATGCATTTTGAGTATAGTTCAACTTCAATTTAAACAAAAAATTGCAGGCCTTATCAGAGACAACCAAACAAAATTTCTCAAAACTCACTGCTGCGGCTAGAAAAGAAGTCCTTCGCGCTGCTGCGGCGCCGTGACGTTCAAAAAAAGTTCAGCGCGACACTGCTGCACCGCGATAATCTCTCAAGAAAATTTGCCACTGGGACAGTAGCTATGTGGGGGAGGCAGTGGCGGTTAGTTTTTTTCACGCATTCTATAACTGTACAGTACTTGTCAAAAGTACCGACCCCCCCTGTAACTCAAGAACCATGATAGCTAGAGACTTCTAATTTTGTGTGGGCATAGCTCTTATCGAATGCTGATCACGCACCAAGTTTGGACCACTTTTACTAGATAGTTCGT